TCAAAGGCACCGTGTTTTGGCTTGACGACAGCGTGCAGCTTTGTTCGTCGAGGGTTTGTCTCCGAAGGAAAGCCAGTGACGGGAAGGGTAACGAGGTTTGTCACAGGACCGGGAAGAGAGGAAGTGGTGGGTGCAAAGGTAGAGCTGTATCTAGCAAGAGGAATGTCCCAATGCAGTATCTTGCCCGAGGCGTGGCCAGTCGTGAGGATGCTGCCATCGTAGGAAAGGATGCAGCTTAGTGTGGCGCCTATATCTGCACTCGGCGGAGTCCATCTCGTGGTGGCGGGAGGTTGTACCGGCAGAGTGGCCTGGGCTTCCTCGTAGATTGGGTTCTTTATCAAGTCTGAATCGCCAGATATACCAGCAGAAAAGGCATCCGAGTAGAAGTTGAGGAGTTGCACGCTTCCGTCTCCATATCCAGTATAGACGGCTCTATCTGCAGCATCAAGGACCAGACATAAAGGCGTTGAGGGAAGGAGGATTGTGCGGAGAAGGGTGTTGTTGTGGTAGTCCCATACTATAGCAGTGTTGTCTTTTGATGCCGAGACAGCAATGTTGTATGTGGAAGTGCTGTGGCCGAATGCGAGAGCTGTGATAGCAGATCGGTGGGCCGAGAGGGTGTGGATGGGAGTAGGTGTGTGCTGAGTTGAAAAGGATAGAAGATCGAGGATTGACCAGACGTGGATGCTACTGTCTGCGCTGCCAGAGAGGAGGAAGGTTGACGTTGGGTCGACAGCGAGAGCTGTAACACTTTGAAGATGTGCTTGTGTCGTGACAATTAGTCGGCCTGTATGTGTCTACCAGTAACGTGTCAGCATGTCTCCATTGATCGTCACTCAGACAATCCCCACCTCCCATAAGAACAACCTTCCCTCGGTGCTTCCCAATATCAAAACCGTCTCTTCACATCCAAGTGCTACACTTGCGATCCTTTCTGGAAATGGTACTGTTGCCTCGTGGCTTCCTTTCTCCCTGCTGTAGACATTTACAACGGCCTTGTCGGACTGTGCTGCAAAGACATGGCTTGCGCTTACAGCAAGGCAGTTTTGATTGGTAAAAGACTTCTTGTATGCTGCGCGTTGCTGGCCGAGTGGTTGCGTCTCGAAAAGAAAAATTCCTGCATCTTTATTCGCCGATGTTGTGCTGACCTTGGCCAGAGGTGCTCCCACCGATGCGACAGATTGTTCCGTGAGCATCGTCTCTAATACGTGTGATTGTGGTCTACCGAGCCTGTGCTGTTGACTGCGAGACACTCACTGACACTTTTTCTGCTTCTCACATGTGAAGACCCTGGAGCTTTCAAGGTTGGCAGTTTTTGCCGGCGACGATCCGACATGACGTCGCCACCTTGAATTCACCAGCCACACCAGACCACATCACACTTCCTTCCAGTGTCTCCTTGTTGCATGAGGAATATTGTTGCAGCAGATGAAGGCGATGGATGTCGTCGTCTTTGTTAAAGCATTCTATATGTGGCCTCGAGGCTTGAGATACAACATTATGATGGATAATGTCCATAACTTGTAGGCCGATCTGAGAGACCATATAACGACGTCAATGTCTTCCATCCATCTCTGCTCGTACCCCCTTCAACCTCCCTTTTCTCTTTTTCTCTACATCCTTCAGGACGCTATTCTTGGTGGCCAGCTTCTATTTCCCTTCCTCTTTCCTCTAATTGAGCAGTACCTGTATCCGACAAGTGGCCATCCAGGCCGTCTCAACCCGAGCCATGAATGCTATGCTCGCTCAACCTATGGCACCACCATCCCAATTACTGCCCACCGTCTCGCAACTCTCTAACTTCCTAGCCTCATTCTTCCCAGTACGTCCTAAAGATGTTGACTTTGTCTATCACACGCCACGCTTTCGTCCTCGTGCGCAAATCAAGGAACAAATGCCACAGTCAGGCTTTCGCTCCTTACCAATTGATTCAACCTCTGTCTCCAAGCTCATCTTCTCCATCACTCCCACACCTGGAGTATACCATGCTTTGAGCGAGCCGAACCTAACTCCTCCACTTTCATTCTTGCATCGTCCTTTCACCTTGGATAGGCGACGTGTTCCGAGGTGAGTGTCCGTACTCTCCTCCCATGTGGGATTTGACGAGATACTCACTGTGGGTTACAATCCTATTCTCGCAGCCCGCTTGGGGCTCGATGTTGAGTCCTCGGTTTGTTTGCAAGGCTACAAAGGCGACCCCGACCGCAAGATTGGCATAGTGGGCGTACTGCACACACCTGTTCCCGCTGCCACATTACTCCGTGATATAACACATGAATTCGGGGCATATGATGACTTCCACGGCTTTTCAAACGACGCTGTCGACCTTTTGGAGGACAATAATATGATCCACACGGTTGCCATTATGAATGCCTTTCACCCGGAGGAAGTGGACAGGGTTATGGAAGCCGCTCTCGCCCGAGGATGGATATCAGACCTCGGTGATGACGGAAGCGTTCTGTACCTCACTGGCCAAGCAAGACAGCCAGGACTCATCGCTGCCGACGCAAAGCACATGAAGGTTGTTTGCGTAGGCCACCGTACTTGTGAAGAGTGGGGTATACGCTACCTCGCTGAACAATGCAGGGCCAAATTTCCCCTACTAGATGTTGTCGAGATTTTCGAGGACGAAGAGCCCCGGCCTCCAACATCGAGGCCAGATGCAACACGCTGAAACTCTGTACTCAAGAGCACAATCTCGTTCCACTTCCATCAATTGGTCTGGTGGTCTAGGGGTATGATTCTCGCTTAGGGAGTTGTTCATTCAGCTCAATCATCCTGAGCCTGTTTGCGAGAGGTCCCGCGTTCGAATCGCGGCCAGACCCTTTTTGCTCCGCTAAGCGCCGTCTGATGTACTCGCTCAGTATGAACTAGTTGTTGATCCAAAATTTTGTTCATTTTTGTGTGGTCAGAACTTCGGCTTCGGGACCGGCCGGACCGATATGTAAGGGCCCAAGGAATCCATCGCAGCCTCACGACAGAAACAGGCATGCACGTCAACTTCCATACATGCTCATGGCGCGAGAGATTGCGGGGGAAAGGCAGTTTATCGATCCTCTAGTACTCTTGTACAGTACCTTGCTTTTTTGACTAGGTAGAGCGGCTTCCTACCATTAGATACCTGGCTGAAGCATTTCAACAACTGTTTCAACAGCAGACCTGCGTTGTCGTCGTTATGATGATTCGGTTGTAGACTTTCCAGATGTCTTGTCACCTAACTCGAATAAGGCATCGACCAGGCGGGGGACGGACAATATGTTCATCCGTCAGCAGCATATCCTAAACCGCATGGCTTACGAACCATCTCCGATATTATCAATCCTTCGCGATATGGACTCCGAAGGCCGACATTACAAATCGTTAAGTAGCCAAATACATCAACGTTGACATTCCATCCTGCAGGACCGACATGGTATACCAGGTTCTAGCCTTGTCTTGATTATCTATAAAGTATGCCTCACTGTCGCTGAGCCGTCAGGTCGCACCTTAATTGCAATTCTTCGCTCACACTTTACCATCACCACTATACAAACCATACTAAATATTGAAAAATGTCTGGCTCGTCCAAACCAGTGTTCCTTATACTCGGTGCCGGGAGCAACACCGGCGCCCGTCTCACAACTGCCTCTGCTGCCAAAGGCTACGCAATTGCGACTGTCTCGCGAAAGCCGGCAACACCCTCATCTTCATTTATCAGTGACCTACATATCCCAGCCGACCTCTCCACACCAAGTAGCATATCCACCATCTTTTCCCAAGTGAAGGAGAAACTGGGAGGTCCCGATGTCGTCGTCTTCAATGGTTCGCTCCTCTCCCTATAATCAAGACTGGATAAGAGTCTAGACCCCACCTCGCTAACTCTCATGATCGTGTCAAAGCATCTTTTGTTGCTTTCACATCTCCCTCTGACCCCTTTTCGCTTTCCACCGAGGACCTGGATGCGTCCATCAACTTGAACATCAAGAGCGTCTTTGCAGCTGCCAAAGAGTTTGTTCGCTTGTCCCCTGTCGAGGAGGAAGCTGCATCGTCGCGTCCACGCACCTTCATTCTCACAGGCAATATGCTTAATACCATGGCCGGCCCCGGGTTCATCAGTCAGGGCCTTGGCAAGTCGGCCGGTGCGCACATCATAGCTGCGGCCGCATTGGCATATGGCGAAAAGGCCTATCGGTGCGTGTCTCTCATCTTGCTCTTCTTCCTCTTATCGATTCCTCTCATCTTTCTATTTTCCATGTCCAATGTCAGTCTCCATCTTTCTCTCCTTGCCTTTTCACTCCTTCGTTCCCCTTCTTCGTGCTCTTCATTCGCGTCTTCATGTGCCTCCCTTGTCAGTGGAGACTCCGCTGCTGAGTTTTATCCTCAGCTTGCTGAGGCTGAGGCTGGAGGGAAGCAGGGCCCTTGGTTGCAGACATTTGTCAAGGGAGTCGGTTACAAGGATTTCGGCCCCTATCACCTTTAAAGGAGATGTGTTTCCTTTGTGATTGGGGAGGGTGGGCATATGAGATATTACGACGTGGTGATACGACGCGATCGGTCCAGAGGTGCAATTATGTGATTGACGAATTGTGAAATCATACTATATGTGTTTGTATTCGATGGCTTCGAAGACAATAGAGATCTCTGTATCTTCAGGTTCGAACGCTCCAGGCGGAAATGCGGTCTGTGAGCGATATGTATGGGTCAGAGCACCAGCACGAAAACAATCGAAACATAGAATTCATTGCTGATAGTAGATAGGTCAAGTCTAGCACTTGTCCAAGCTCGTGTAGCTATTGCTAGTCCTGGGTAAACAGAGGGCTGGTATGAGAGAGCATGCAAAAGTATGTTGCGCATTAGAACAAAAGACGCAGTATACTATGACTGGTCCTACTCGCGATCAGAGAAAGAGCAAAGCCTGGAACACTCTTTCCATATCTAAAAGAACAAATTGACGATGATATTCAGACATCTCATCAGACATTTGACAAGGGTCCAAAACGATACCACCAGCAAAATTCATGCGACCATCATGGGACTCGAACCCACAACCTTCCGCTTACAAGCTCGTCAGACGAGTAGGAGGCGGACGCTCTACCATTGAGCCAAACGGCCAATCATGATTGAGTCAAGATAAAGTGAATCCATATACTTTTATTACAGACCTGCGCAAGTGCTGTGGCTCGAATACCCAATCGGCTGCGAAAACGACATCGATATTTTTTATCGATATTCATCATTTTATTAACAGTTTCATCTACAAGCCGACTCGACGAGTCGGACTATCCAACTCCCGTCGATTTTAGTCGAGGGAAAGGGTGCCGCCCGACCATCCTAGAAACCGACATCGATATTTTTATCGATATTCATCATTTTATTGACAGTTTCATCTACAAGCTGACTTAACGAGTCGGACTATCCAACTCCCATTAATTTTAGTTAAGGGAAAGGGTGCTGCCCAACTGTCCTAGTGACGCTGTTATTATAGTTATACCAGCGTTGTCCCTAAAGGGACTAATTGCTGCTATAGCAGCTTAAAGAAGAGCTAGGAATACTAGACAGGGAGGCAGAGGGCTGATTCAGCCTATCCGTTCTCTTAGTCTAAATAATAATATTGTCTTTACTAAAAATATAATAAAATATCTTATTAAAAAAGCAATAAATGCTTAAAATAGCAAATTTAATAAATTATTTAAATAATTTAAAATTCAGAATAAGACTTTCTAAAACTAGAATAGGACTTTTCAAAACCAGACTGAGATCTTTAAGACTTAGAACAAGGTCCTCTATTAGAAGAATACTACTTTAATAGCGTTATTTAATATTATTATAAAAAAAACTTAATATAGCTAAAGCAAAGCTCAATATTATAAAAATGAGACTTAAATACACGCTTATAGGAATTAAGAAGCTTAAAAAAGAATTTAAAATAATAAATGCTAATTTAAAAGTTAATATTAAGGTTCTTAATATAGAGATTAGAACTATTAGCTTTAACGTTAATAAAGAAATAACAGTCCTTTCAACCTTTAAATAGTCAAGCTTATTATCCCTAGCCAACCTTAATATAGCAGTATTACTATTAACCTTATATGCTTTTATAATATTAAGATTAGTTAATCCATTGTTATTAGCCATTTATCCTTTTATAAAAAAGGGAACGCTATTAACTTTACTAACTTTTCTAGAAAAGCTATAACAATTCCTAAGCGTTATAATTGACATTAGCTAGGTGCTAGCTAAATAACGTAAGCCAGCTATAGATAGCAAAGCTATAATAAAGAAAATTAAGAAAGCAATTGCATTTTAGCTATTAGTATATATAATCACTATTAAAGGAATTCAGATAAGAGCAAGATCTATAAGGGTTATTACCTAAAATAGAAAAGACGCAGCATAATTGCAGCTAAATAATAGATAGGTTTATTAAGTATTTGATATAGCTTAAACTTATAAAGAGGATTATTTCCTAATTAAAGTCAATAACGCATTTAGAGCAGCAGTCTTAGTACTAAATATTAGAACAATCCACTTAGAATTCTTAATAACATTTATAACTAAAAACAAGTTTATAAATACTATTAAGGCATTCTAGCTATCTAAAAGGGAAAAACCGGCTAGATTGATAGTAGTCTACCTAGCTACAGCTAAAGATGCTTAATAAGCCCTTACTGAACAATACGTTAAGATTAATAGAAATATAGCTTAAATTAGTAAATATAAGAAGCATTAACGCCCTTAGAGATGCTATAACTGTAATAAATATAGCTATTATTAGGCTAAATGCAGCTAACTAACAAAATATAGTAAATATATAGAGAATTATAAAACTAATAATTATAAAGCTATAGCCTTTAAATATGTAATATATAGTAAACTATATATAGCTATAAATATAGAATGCTCTGCATACTATAATAAGATTATTAGAATCCAAGGAGGTAGATAACATATTAGCTAAGCTACTTATAATAAAGATACAGAATGGCAAACTGTCACTAGCTAATAAATTAAATAAACAGTCACTATAAGCAATATATAATAAGAGATACCAGTTTCCTATTAGTAAATATAAATAGATAATCCTTAATCTAACTTAGCCTTTTTAACAACCAATTTATTAATCACTTTATAGCAATTATAATTATTAAACTAAGCATTGCTAATATTAATAGCAAGCTATATATCTCTTAACATTAGTACTAGACTACTGTAACGCTAATTATCTAATAGAAGGAACTAACGCATTATGCGTTTTAGTTATTATTATATATTTATAAAAACGTTTTATTTATCTAATTCCCTATATAGTTACTAAATATAACTATAAGAGTCATTACTACTTTAATAAAACATCTTTTTATTATATTAATCTATATTCTAGGCTATAGCTAATATGCCCCCTCTAAATAGGACTTAGGGGAGTTAAGTACCTCTAGACTTATAGTGTTAAGCAATACTATCTATAAAGCCAAAAGGAAGTATAAAGGAAACCTCTTTATTATAAAGAAGAAAATAAGCTAGTGCTCTAGTAAATGCATTAATATAATATTTTCTTAGCTTTATTAAATAGCATTATTACATTTTTTTTAAAAACGCTTTAAAATAACTATTAACCTTATACTAGTATCTAATGCGCTTGAAAACCAGGTTACTAAATACGACATCTACTTAATCTAATATAAATTAGATTATAAAGCTATAGCGCTTTAAATTAAAAGGACTACAATAACTGCTTTATTAGAAACTAAATATAATTTTAGGAAAACGGATTAAAATAAAGCTATTAAAGTATTTAAAGAGTAGCAATTGTTAGTTATTAATATTGACAATATAATCAAACTTGATTAAGCAGTTATAGAGATCCAGAACACAATAAGCCAATATATATAGGATTATAGCCTAGTAGTTAAGGAATCCCTATATATGAAATCATAATAGAATAACGAGCTTACAAAGCTTTATAACAAATATACATAATAACAAAACTGGAACAATACGCTATAAGTAATAAAGCTAGATAAAGAAGAAAGTTAATGCTAAGCTAGGTAAGCTAAATACCAGTTTCATAAAAGCATTTAGGACAAAAAGTAACTATATTAAAACAACTTCTTAGCATAGATAGATAATATCTGAAAAGCAGCTAGGTACCTTAACCTATAACTGTTAGCGTTTAATAACATTCTTACTATAGTTATTAGCATTAAGAGCTAAAAGATGGAGCTTAAAGGTAACAATGCTAAAGCAATTGAACTACTCTAATGCTTTTTTCTACTAGTTTTAAAAAGCTAAAAAAGGATATGCCGAATCTAAATATAAGGCATATAAATAATCCGGATATCTTTATTAAAAAGGTAACTAGAGTAATAGCCAAGATTAGTCTATATAAAGCGCTAGGTATAAACAATATTCTAAATATTACGTAGAAACGCTTATAATCCATTCTAAGCAATTAACTTACTAATATCTTTAACGCATTATACTAATTAGGATATATACTATCTATATAAAAGATAGCGCAAATCCTACTATTATAAAAGCTAGGGAAACCTGACTATTATATAGTAAAAGCATACTGCTTTATCTTCTTTCTAGCTATTTTAAGCAAACTAATAGAACTAGTATTAGTAAAAAGAATATTATACTAAATAGAGACTTTCAATCTCCTTTTAAAAATATAATTTAGTATTAAGCTAAGGTAATTATGTAATTAAGCGCTGCTCCTTTTAGTTAAAAAAAATCTTTAAAGCATAGCAATAAAAGAAAGTCCTTTCCTTTATTAGCCTTAATATAAAGAGAGCATATAACAATATTTCTTAATAAGTACTTATTAGTTAGCTATAAGTAGAAGGAATCCTAATTTATATAGTTATATAGGTTAACTCCTTCTATACTAATTGACTAGCTATAATACTAATTAATAATACAGAATTAAGGTAAGTCACTCTTACAGAATTAGGTCTCTTATAAAAATTAACACTTGCTCTAATTCTATATATCTTCTTTAATATATTCTTAATAAAGAAGAAGATTAATAAGAAATAAAGCAATATAGGGTTTATAAATAACTACACCTAATAAGCCATTTTGGAATTAGTAAAAAAGAATATATTAATATTTAATAATAAAATGGTTTTAAAGGCTTTCTAATAGGTAAAAAATAATAGCGCTATTTTTGAAAGTAATAAGACAATTCTTATATATTTTATACAAAATTATAAAAAGACTAGTAATACTGACTCTCTATTAAAGGTAAGCGACTACATTGTTAAACCCTCTATAAAAGAGAGAATCCTAGAAGTTATTTTTAATGCTAAGCTGAGATTTAAAGACTATCTAGCCAAAGTCATAAAAGGATAGAGAAGCGCTAGTTAACTTAAACGCCTGTTCTATATTAGATTATAATTAGCATATTAACTTTACTAAGCTATAATAGCTTTAAAAATAGACTATGTAGCTATAATATAGTATTCTTAATCCTTTAAGAAAAAGATTAACAACAGCATTACTAAGATCCTTAACCCTATATAATAGATAAAAGCCTAAGCAATAGTTAAATACTTCTATATAACCTTAGTCAAAGCAGCTAGCGCTAAAGCGTCATTCCCTCTTTTATATATTAGATTAAAACTAAAGATTGGCAAATTCTAAATAGGACTCTATACGTTATTAGAAACTAACCTATTAAAAGCACAGCTTAGAAAACTAGTTAAGAAACCTAGAGCGAAGTTGTTTACCTCCCCTCTTTATAATATAGAAACACAGCTTAGCAAAATGGGAATAAATATAGAAACTATCCTAATATAGATTGCTTTATTATAAAGCATAATAATAATTAATTACGAATCTGACTAATACAGCTCTAATAAAGCATATAAGAACTACCTTAAAATAAAGGACTAGCGCCTGAATATCTTTGCTAACAGCTTTATTGCTAACAGACAGGCAGGAGTTAGGGTAGCTATGTACTCTAAAAAGCCTACACTATTTTCCACTCTCTTTTAGTAAGTCAAATTAGAAGGCAACATTAATAGCATAATAATAGAGCTAATTGCAGTTAAAAAGGCTATAATACTAGCTAAAATTCTATTAAAAACATTATATAACTATAAGAG